GCCTATTTCTTGTAAATATAATTGAGAACAATTCCAAAAAGTTATCCTTAGGAAAGAAATAAATAAATCAGTACTGAGTAGATGATAAACAGTCCTTATTCTAGAAGCCAGGTTGGCAGTACAACATGTACAAGCCCAGCACTTGGGAATTAAGACAGAAGGATCAAGCATTCAAGTCTAGGCTACATAAGTACCCCCTAAACCAGCCACTCCACAAAAACTCAAAACAAACAAACAAACACCCCAAAGATCAAAAAAACAAAAAACCCAACAGCAACAAAACCAAACTCCCAACGCAAACAAATCCCACCAAAACCACTGGGAATTTACTTCAGAAAGTCACCAAGGCCTCTCACTTGACATGGTCTTTCTACTAGAGAATAAGCCAGAAAAACCTCACTCATGGAAATGAAGGCAATAATCAAGAGTAAAAATGAATCACACAGACAACTACAGAAGAAGTTGTTTTATTATCATGAGTAAAAGCAGGGGTTGGAAACAGAAGAAAGCTATTTCCAGACACATGTATGACAAATGCAGCAGGCTTTTCCTACACATGAAGAAAAGTTCTTACAGAAAGAACATGATTGGGTTCCAACTTCAATAGGACAAGAAGCACAGAGTGTCCAAGCGTGTCCCAGTATGAATCACACAGGGCCATGAACTCAGCTGTCACTTTTTTTTTTTTTTTTTATCTCATCTGTATTTACCTTTTAAAGCAGAATGTGATTGGGCATTATTATTTCCATTCACAAGCCTTGCTGAGTTACAAGACCTAGGGAAACTTAAGGTTTTGTTCTTGGTACTTTGGAAAACAAGCCACTTGGGGAGGTCCTGTCAAGTTGTTTTAACTTGTGTTTACTTCTAAGACTAGCACATGCAGAATTAACTACAGGGAGTGACATTTTTAAGATGTAACTTAAGCCGTCTTAATTTGGTCAACTAAGGAATCCAGCTCAACAGCTAAACACTTCCGACCACAGAGGTAACATTAACAGCAGGTTACGTCTTACAACATTCTACCAACCTCTTGAGTCAAACCTATAGTATCACAGTATCACATGTAGACATTTTATCTTCCCCTTAGTTTTCATGCCACACAGATGTTTTAAATGTTAACAAAAATAAACAGAAATCATGGAAATCAGCTGTCACTTCTTAAATCATCCTCAAGCGTTGCTCCAGAAACTGTCTCCGGGTGGGCTAAGGGTAGGACACCACAGGTCCCTGGCCGTAAAGTCACCTTCAATATCTCAATCTTCAAGCAGGTAGTTAGGGTTGACTACCAGGTAAGGGTCTTCCTCATAGCTCTCGCTTCCTTCACTGGAGCCTTTCAGTCCAGCCTGGGTGAGCTCGATCAGAACGTGATCCTGTGGAACACAGTTTGTCCTCAGGCCAGAGCCACAGACACTTCCAAATGTCTGCTACTTACACATTTTCTTGTTTCTTTTCTAAAAGCCGGTGGACCAGAACCATACCTTCAAACCATTATCAGTGTTCTGGTCAAATCCCTTCTTACTAGGAGGCTAACCTTTAGGTGCAACTGCCTTGAAAAACTAAGAACCACAGCAGGTATTGTGATTTTAATAAGGCATCTTATACATTTTATCAAATGCTTGTCAATATAACTTCAAAACAGCAAGCTGTGCTTTAATTTTCAAGTGTATGTCACCATGCTCAGCTAGATCCTATTTCTACTTCTTTTTAGAAAATTCTTCTGAAGAGTTACAGGCAGGTTTTAGCCAGCTGATGTAGGTGCTGAGAATGTGCTTGGGTACTCTGGGAGAGTACAGCACGCTCCTAACCACTGAACTCTCTCTAGCTCTTATTGTTTATGAAGGACCACACACAGGCCTCTCACATAGTAGGTAGGAGGACTCTATTTCTAACTGAACTAGAACAGGGCAAAGCCCATGATGGTGGTATACATCAAGTAATACAAGTACTCAGACGGCTAAGGCACATAGACCGTGAATTCTAGGCCAGTGTGGGCTTCACAGTGAGTCACAATCTCTAAGTAAACAAATATAAAATATCTAAACATAATTCATCTGGGAATTTTCTCTCTGAACAAGTAAAAATAAATGTAGAACACACCATCTGTCCTCTTCTCTTCCAGCCCCTAAGCAATTTTTCCCAAACAAAACAGAAAAGAAACTTCAAATAAGACTGATAACTAGATTGGGAGTGGGGGTAGGGTACAAGGAACAGGTGATGCTAGCTAGTGGGCTGGTTCAGAATTACATAGCCAGGTATGAATGAAGCCAACAGGGTGAAAACAAAAAGTTAAAAAGCACCCAAACAGGAGCATAGGATTCAGCACAGAGGCATGTCTGACCAGCACATGCAAACCCAGGGCTCAATACTAGTACAGCTAAATAGAGACATCACAAAATGCCCAGCCCAAAGTAAAATCCAAAAGCTGCCTGCTCAGGTTTTACCTAAATTCTGCTTATTTTAGGAAAAGTCTCTCCCTTGCGATTAACTCTCCTCAACCACAACCATGATCACACCCCAATGATTCAAAATAAACAAACTCATCAAAAAGCCTGCAGATACAGGCACTCCTCTGCAGTGCCCTGGAGCCCAGGCAGTGGGTACTTACGTAGTGTGTGAGACGATGAACAACCTTCTCTATGATTCTCTTTTTATTTATGAGCTCCTCTTCTGAGTCTATTTCTGACTCAATTTCCTTCAGGTACCAGTTGACAAGCTCACTCCTCTTTAGTGCTGACTCGTCCTCCTCTGTGACAAAACACATTATTTAGAAGGACTGACCTCTAGCAAACTGCACTGCCAATTCATGGCACACATGGGAAAAAACCTTAAGTTTTGACTTTAGAAACTGTAAAATAAGGTGCAAAAGGAAGGATCAGTCGTTTTAGAATACCTGTTTAGCATGTACAAGACCTGGATCCAATCCTCAGCACTACACACACATACGAAAGACATAAAATCACATGTATTTGTGAGCTCCACTTCAGAGTATTTTGTTTTGATTGTTTTTTTTTTGTTTGTTTTTTTTTTGAGACAAGGTCTTCTCACTTTGTAGCCTTGGCTGGCTTGGAGCCCACTGTACTCAGCCAGAATCTACCTCCGATTCTACTTCAGTTCCTTTCAAGTACGAGGTGAACCTGACCATGAAAGTCTGCAGCACAGATTGGAATTTTGCATGGTGAATTAAGCCTGGAAGCCAGCACAGAATCGTCCTTGGAGCTTTTCTGCTTCCAGAACACACGCTGGGCAGCTCACAACCTACTATAACTCCAGCTCTGGGGGAGCCAAGTCCTCCTTTTAATCTCCATAGGCACCTATACACAAATGCCCACACACACATACACACACACACACACACACACACACACACACACACACAAAGAATTAACTACAGCTCTAAAAGATGATGGTGTACCCTCCTACCCAAGGCTAACTGGCGGACTGTGAAACTGATAGGAAATCATGGCAAAGCAGGTAAAGGTAAAAAGTGGGCAAGTGTTCCACCAACCAGGTGCACCAGAGGAGGAGTCTATTACATTTGTGGTATTTTATAGATAAATATAAATATTCCACAAGACATCTGTTGGCAGAGAAGCAACTATACTAATTTCCACCTACAAAATGTTCTTTACATGATCAGATCTAAAGATTCCTCTTCAAAATCATTAAGCTAAATACAGGAACATCTGTATTTATGTTCTGCATTATAGAATGATCTGTGAGCATCTGACAATGAGCTTGTAGGGAAGCTATGCTGATACTACCCAAGTCTCCCTCCCAAAATGAGCCAACGTAAACGATCATCTCTTCTGACTTCTGAAGACTAACACATGAGAAGCGGCAGAAACGGCTTGTGAGACTGACAGCAGATAAGTGGTGTGAGGTACACACTCACCTTCTTCCATTTTCCTGAGGTGAAGCACGATGAGGTTAGAGATTCGGCAGTACTCAGCAAAGCCCAGCCTCAGGGAGGGCTTGGAAACAGTCTCCTGACTGGCCTCTTCACTGGAGCCATTGAACCCATTCATAGGAGCAGGGCTGTCAGCATGACCTAGAAAAGAAAGTAACCACCTAAGCCCTGTCCTTGTGCCTTCAACATGCCCTCATCCAATGTCCATGCACACACTCTCTATGCTTAATATAAACTTCAGAAAACAATCATTTTATTTTTTAAAAAGATTTATTTATTTATTTATTTATTTATTTATTTAATATATGTAAGTACACTGTAGCTGTCTTCAGACACACCAGAAGAGGGCATCGGGTCCCATTACAGATGGTTGTGGGCCACCATATAGTTGCTGAGAATTGAACTAAGGACCTCTGGAAGAGCAGTCAGTGCTCTTAACCACTGAGCCATCTCTCCAGCCCCAAACAATCATTTTATAAATAAATCTGAAACAAATTAAAATCCTACTAGTGAAGACAACTGGTTGGGGACAGATCTTATTGATATCATTTGCAGCAGGACATGATGGTACACACCTATAATTTGTGCACTTAAAAGGCTGAACCAGAGGCTACAAATTTAAGACAACTTAGGCTACCTAACCAGTGAGACCTTTCCCCTGCATTTGCCAAAGTTAATGTGTAGTGTTATAAGCAAGTTCACCTATTCAATGTGATCGAGAAGTTTAAGAATGTCTTAAACTGTTATTGTGTGTATGGATGCATGCGTGCATGTGAGCGTGTCATAGTGTGTATGCAGAATCAGAGGATTCAGTCCTCTTACCTTTACATGATAAGATCACCAGGTTTTCAGGTAAGAGTATTTACCCACTGAACCATCTACTTGCCCAAGAAAATATTTTAAATTCAAGAGCTAGACAGAGTATTGTAAGTAAGAGTAGAGGACAAACGACCCACCCATTTTGATGCGCTTTCTTTTGGTCTTCCAAGCATATATACTTTGTACAACTACTTAATTGTGCTTCAGCTCATAGTGAATTTAAAACCCCTTATGAATACATCCATTCACAACCATTGACAAGTGATGAGCAAGCTCCTCACCGTTGATGCCTCCTGGTCCTTCATCCGTCTCCATCTGGATCTCTTCCTCTTGATCTAGATTGACATCAGGCGTCTCTACACGGATGATTGATTTATTCAGCAATCGAAAAGCTTCCTTCACATGTTTAGGCTGGACCTAAGCCAGTAATCAGACAACTTAGTTATGTAAGATATCTTATACCAAACAGCTAAAGAACACTGCGCTCTCCCCCATAGGACACTATTAACTCACTAAAATGTCTGAAATGTCTGACAATATCATATATTAGCAAGATGAAAAAATAACTCACCTTCCACAGGCATTTATGAATTGATACAGCTGTATGTATCTATGTATGTATTCTATGTATCTCTCTGTGGGCACGTGCTCATGAGTTCAGATGTCTGTGAGGGGTGAAGAGTGTTGGGAACCAAACGCTGGTTTGCAAAGAATACGACATGTATTGAATGGATGGATCACCTGCCAAATAAAAAGCCCATGGCCTATGGCTCAGGCAGGAAATAGGAAGTAGGATATCTAAGAAGAGAAAGAATTCTGGGATAGAGCCAGGAGAAGATCTGCCCAGGAAGATCTGAGGAGATACTCATGATACCTGAGCACAGGTAACTAGCCACATGGCAGAATGTAGGTTAAAATAAATGATTTATCTTTAGTTATGATCTAGTCAGAATACAGCCTAGTTATATGGCCAAGGTATCTGTAAATATATTCTGACTCTACGTCTTATTTCTGGAGCATGGACTGGGAGGCAGAACGAGACCTAACAAGAGCAGTATACTTTCCTCCCTTTAGTGTGTTTTTATTTAATGTGCATTTGTCTGCACTTATGTCTGTGCACCATATGCACTCAGAGTCCTAAAAGGCCAGAAGATAATGGATCCCTTAGGACTGGAGTCACATGTGGTGGCTGGGAATATAACCTGGGCGCTCTATATTCATAACCATAAGCCACCCATATCCCCAGCTCCATTTCCTTTATTTTTTCCTTTTTTTGAGATAGGGTTTCTTTGTGTAGCTGTGGCTATCCTGGAACTACTTCTGTATATCAGGCTGGTCTTGAACTCACAGAGATCCACATGCTCTGACTCCTGAGTGCAGGAACTAAAGGTGTGCACCACCACCACCACCTGCCTTTTCTTTCTCCCTTCCCTTTCAGTACTGAGAACTGAATCCAGGGCCTGACACACAAGTATCTACAACATCTCCAAATCTTGTTTTATCGATTTATTTATTTTTTTTTGAGACAAAGACCCATTCGGCTCAAGTTGGCCTCAAACTAAAATGTAGCTGGGGATGACCTTGAACTCAGGATTCTCCTGCCTCTACCCCCTAAGTGTTGGGATTACAAGCATGTGATATAATGCCAGGTTCAAGGCCAATTTGGGCTTTAAATGCTATCTCAAAACCTAAGTACATCTGTAATTCCATCCATGGTAGTCTGTGACAGAGGGCTGGGGATTTAAGCCAGGTTACCAAGAGACCCTGTTTCAGAAAACAACAAACAAATGAACCTAGTCCTATCACAGACAAAATTTGAATTCTAACTGAACTTTGTATATAAAAGTACACAAAAGCCTCTTGGTTTGAAGCAGATGTGTGGCTTCCAGTATCACCCCCTTCTCATAATCTTACATTTGCTGTGAATCTAGGGCACCATGAGCAATTAAAAACCCATGGCTAAGGATGTAGGTCAGTGTCACGAGTGTGTTTAGCACGCACAAAGCCCTCAATTTAATTTTGTCCTGGTATATGCAAAACCAAAATAATACCCAAACCCACCACACTGATTAAACAACCCAAGGTGGAAGGCTCCTTCTGAGGCAGGAGTCACAGTCTCATTTGTATTCCCAGCCAGAGGCCAAGGACATTGTTGAGATTAAGTATGTTTCTCTTGTATAAATAATTACCTATATCTGCACTCCATATTTTTACTTGTTACTATCAGTCTAGACATCACACCTCACAACTGCATGACAGCAACCTTCTTACTGGGAGAATAGTATCAACTGGTTGTGGGCTATTCCATAACAAAAATAAAAACAGGCCCACAAGCCAAGTCATACATCCCTGTTCTGTGTTATCAGAGGGATTGGTACCTCGTCACAGCAGTGCATGCGGGCCATCGATTCTGAGAGTCGGATCATGCTCTCAAGCTGTCGCACAGTGATTCTCCACGAGGACTTGGTGACCCCTGAGCCATCCCTCTGGCGGAGGCGTTTGTACTGCTCCACAATGAAGTCCTCTGACTCTTTGGAAATCTGTTTCAAAACCAGTCAAATCAGGAAGATATTTATATTCTTTTTTTTTTTTTGATTGACTACATTAAACCAGTTAAAGAGGGTCCTGGATGGAAGCACTCCAGGAAACAGAGGATAGAGGTTGAAACTTTATCACAAAGACAGTGAATTATTTCAGAAACTGACACCCAGAAGCCTATAAACTCCACGTACTAATTTTATGAACAGGAAGACAATGGACCAGTGTAAGCAAATGACCATTTCTAAACGATGTTTAACACATGAAGCAATAGAATAAAATGAAATATGCTCAAGATGTTAAAGCTCATTAATACTCAGTCTCTTCTTGAGGCTTATCTAATGAACTTATGCAGGCTTTAGGGGAAAAAGCGGCATAGACTGATCTAAAAGGCCCTCAGGTTTTCAGAGCAAGAAACTCAGTATACAGTAGTACTGGCAAATATACACTCTTCATACAAAAGTCACTCACAATCCTTATTTATACTTTTATTGTTAGGCAGGGTTTCACTATATAGAGTACCATGCCTGGCTAGATTATTTAATACATTCTGAAGAAACAAACCAGTACTCAGAACAAGCACAAAACTTAAAATTTAAGGAGATTAGGTTTTAAAAGGAGTGTCCAAAGCTAGGAAGGGAAAGTGGTGTGGGTATGGGAGGAGTAAAGTCTAGAAGCGAGAGGTGGATTTATAAAAACACATCATACGTATTCAAGTATAAAATTCTCAAAAAATAAGCTAAAGATTTGAGGATATTAAAAAGAAGAATACAGCTAGGCATATTGGCACATTCCTATAAATAGAGAAGTAGGCATCTAAAGCAGGATTGAGTTTGATTGAGGGTAGCCTAGAAGACACAGTGGATACCCTGACCGCTTCAAAAGATCAAAACCAAAGCTAAAGCTAAAACCAAAATGAAACCCAACTTCAGTTAATTTCCACATAACCCATTTATTTAACCTAATTTTAATATCCCCGTGCACCATGCCATCCAGGTATGGCAGGGCAGATTACCTTGGGCTTAAACTGTCGGGCAAAGAGAAGATACCTTCTTATATCATCAAGGGAGTAAACTCGGTCAATTGATTCTTCAATCCTTGAATGCAAGTCTACTATGCGCCTGGCAATAGCATAGTCTGTCACCTAATTCAAAACAAGACAACTTCTTTCAGTCATAGTAGAATTGACTCCAAAGTACTGCACAGAGTAAGGGATGATGTATAGCTACAAATGATCTCTTATCTGGGTATGTAGTAAAGGCCTGCAAGCCCAGCACTTGGGAGGTAGAGGCAGGAACCTCAATGGAGTTCAGCCTTAACTACCTAAGAAGTTCAAGGCCAGTCAGTACACGCTATAGGAGATCCTATCTTGAAACAAGACAAAATTAACCTCTATGTTTCTGAGAAAAGTTATTAAGAGACACTAACTTTCTGACCCAAGTTTTTATCTTTTTAGATTTATTTACTCTATAGGCATGAGTGTTTTGTTTACATGCATGTCTGTGTATCATGTACATGTCTGATGGCCACGGGAGTGAGGAGAAGGCCTTGGATCTCCTGGCACTGGAGTTATAGATGCTTGTGAGCCACCATGTGGGTGGTGGGAATTGAATCTGGGTCCTCTGCAAGAACGACATGCTCTTAACTGCTGAGCCATCTCTCCAGACACATGATCAAAGGTTTTACAATAGATTTCTTGTAATTAAAAAATAAATACATCTTATGCTGGGTATGGTGGCATATGTCTTTAATCCCAGCACCGAGGGAGGCAGAAATTCTGTGAGTTTGAGGCCAGCCTGGCCTACATAGCAAGCTCCAGACCAGCCAGAATTATGTTGAGACCCTGTCTCAAAAAAGCAACAAGCAACAATATTTGCCTATGTATATGTCTTTGCACCATGTACATGCTGGGTGGCCATAGGCCAAAAGAGGGCTTCAGTCCCCCTGGAGTTATGGATATAAGATACCACATATGGGCGGGCTTAGAATCAAACCTGGTCCTCTGAACAAGCAGCAAGTGCTCCCAACCACTAAAACATCTTTTGAGTACCCTGATGCCTGCTTTACCCTGAAAATATACCTGGACGGAATTAACTACCTTTAATAAGGAAGCCCATTCGCTGTAACAGAAGGACTGGGGAGGGGAAAGGAAAGGAACCAGCCAAAACAAAACAGGGGCAAGTAACCAGTTCGAGTAATATTACTGACACATGCATAGAAACGTGGAATGAAGGTCAAGTATGGTGGCGCATGCTTTTAATCCCAGCATGTGGGAGGCAGAGACAGGCAGATCTTTGTCATTTTGAGGCCAGCATGGTCTGCAGGGTGAATTCCAGGATAGCTAGGGCCACAAAGAGACCCTGTCTCAAAACAAAACAAAACAAAACAAAACAAAACAAAACAAAACAAAACAAACCCAAAGCCAAAATAGAAGGAGAAAAAAAAAATAAAACTTTCAAAAGAATAGCCATAGCCGAACATTTACGGGAGCCTGTTACATGAAACTGTTTTTCTCAGGCATGTCTAGAAGCAATCCCCATGAAGGAGATGATAGCTTTATTTTATGTAGAAGTAAACTGAGTCCCAGAAAAGTTAAATTATTTGACCAAGGTCTCAGTAAGTAGTAGGGACAGGACCAAAGAGTCTAGCTTCAGTGTGTCGTCTTAGCCACTACGTTATTATCTATGCGTTAACTACGTTTATGTACTTGTGAGGGGAAAAGGGGGGAACCTAAGCCCAAGTCCCCCAAACACTCACAAAAGCAAGGCAATTTTATTTAGATAATGTCTCAAGTCAGGATGAAAGCAAGGGTTTTGCATTAACTATTGAAATAGAGCTTCCTGCTTATCAATTAGGAGTATAGCCCATAAAGATGGGCATGGTGGGTTACACAGAAAGTTCAAGGCCAGCATGAGTTACACAAGACCTTGTGGGGTAGTGGGCTATTTATGTGTTCACACTCACATCTGAGATGGTAAGGTTGAATACTTAAATCTAAGAACAACTAATCCAGGCTAGGAGTACTGCACCCAAGACACACAAAAGGTCATGAAACTGAGCACAAAAGGAAACATGAACAACATCAGTGGTTACCTCATTGCACTCATCCACCAGAATGAAGAAGAGATCAAAGCGGGACATGATGGGTGCTGACAGATTGATGTTCTGTTTCAGAGATTTTGACCTGTCGTAGTGTCCACTGACAGGGTTTGCTGCAGCTAAAATGGATGTCCTGGCATTCAGAGTTGCCTGACCATGAGAGAAAACCATGAAACTAAAAAACAAACCCAAATTGGCCAATATAGATAAAAGAAAAAGTTCTATCTCATGCAATTAGCTAAATGGAAGCAAAAGCTTTTTCACTTGCTGAATCATCAAAACTCAAGCATGGTCACAGCACAACAGGCTCTTCTACATGGTGACGAATGACATTGAGTCCCTTAGCTAGCACTTTGCTAGGAATGTACCTTGTAACTAGACATAGGAGGTCCTCAGTTGACATAGCTTGTGACACACCATACTGCTGAGTGTCACAATGCTAATAAATCATAGTGGACCTAGCAGGTGCTACTACAGGAAGACTGCCAATAAAATCACGAAGCTAAAGGACGAACTGTATGCACTTGCTTAGTTGCGCATACACACTCAGCACATATCTAGTATCCATTGTACTATGGGATCTCTCTTAAATTTATACATCAGTGTATTACCTTAAAAAAAATCTTTATTTTTCAATTTTAAAAAGACTTATTTAATTTTAAAATTATGTGTATACATGTCTGCCTCTATATTTAAAGTGCAGGTGCCTGCAGTGCCTATAGGAGCCAGAAGAGGAAGTTGGAATCTCTGGAGTTATAAGCTGCCCATTCTGAGTTCTGGGAACTGAACTCAGGTCCTCTGCAAGAAGAGTACACGCTCTTAAGTGCTAAGCCATCTGTGTGTCCCCCAAACCTACTACTTTTAATAAGTTAAGATCCTCTTTAATGTTGGGTATCATATGGTAATCAGAATTTCATTTAAATTATCTGTTGATCTTTGAGTAGTTTGTGGTACTAGGACCAATAGCTGTTTTTGTTATAACAAAAAAGCTGTTTAATCAAGGTATACATATTTTGCTTATGAAACTTTTACGAAACACAGCTGGCAAGATGGCTAGCAGGTTCTGTGTACCTTCTACGCAAGCCTAGTAACCTGAGTGTGATCCCGAGAAATCATGTAAAGATGGAAGGAAAGAACCAAACTCACAAAGTTGTCTTGTCACAAAGATGCCAAGGCAGCCCCCCACACCTCCCAAATAAATGAGCATTTATAAAGCTTTAAATTTCTGAAAAATGAAATGCTAAGAACTACATTAGTACCATTACTTTCTATCACAGCAACATAGTACTAGACCCGCAATAACACCTTTATTTTACATTTTAGACCAACATTACACATTGGGACAATGTATTCCTCCGGTGGATGTCTCTACCACACTCCTCTGCATGGCTATGGGACACACACCTTCACTCCTGCTTTAGTGATAGATATGGTCTGCTGCTCCATAGCTTCGTGAATAGCAACTTGGTCCCGCATGTCCATCTTATCAAACTCATCAATACAGCAGACACCCTGTAACCAAACACATCTAGCATTAAGAAATTTTCCCGCAGGGCTGAGGATATAGCTCGGTGGTAGAGTACTTACTTGCCTAGCATGTGTAAGAAAATCAGAGAAATTGCTTTGCAGATGTAAGATGGTAAACTTACAAAGTTTCTTACCAGAGACTTTTCCATTCCCCAGGCAAATGGATTAGGATAACTATGCAGATAATGGACTGCAAAATGTAAACCTCGGCATGAAGAGATTTGGGCTGGGTGTAACGGTGCACACCTGTGATCAAAGACTGTGGCCAGCAGAGGCAGATCTCTGGGAGTTCTAGGCCAACCACAAATATAGACTGACTGGTTTAGCCATTGGTTTTAGACTGGAAAAGTAAAGAGTGAAGGAGTACCACAATGAATATAAGCTTGCATAGCCACAAGGAATTAATCTTTGTCAAATATAAAGGTAATATACTCTGTATTCACAGATAGACCTGTTCAGAGATGTTAGCAAAGCAGCAAACTGAGACGGTCTAATCACAGTAATCAATGCTTTCTAGGGATGCTTAGAATGTATCAACTAATGGTGAGTCTTTTTTTTTTGGTTTTTCGAGACAGGGTTTCTCTGTGTAGCCCTGGCTGTCCTGGAACTCACTCAGTAGACCAGGCTGGCCTCAAACTCAGAAATCCGCCTGCCTCTGCCTCCCAATTGCTGGGATTAAAGGCGTGCGCCACCACCGCCCGGCTAATGGTGAGTCTTAATTCAATGTAGATTAATAAAAGTGAATAACATACCAATGAATTCAATAAAAAACTATAGCTTGTTATTGAAAGGTCAAAGGGTACTGACTTCCCTATAGCCAACAGCACACAATGTCCTTACGTTGTCAGCCAGCATCAACGCTCCAGCCTCAATGACAAACTCGTGAGATTCTTCATCCCTCACCACAGCTGCTGTTAAACCTGCAGCGCTAGAGGCTTTGCCACTGGTGTAGACAGCTCTGGGACTGAACTCATCCACATGCCTATTCAAGAACATCACACAAAGACTCATTAACACATCACCACATCGAACTAGTCCACAGATATCAGCTGACAGGAGTTCTAAAACTGATTCAAATCCATTCCTGTCAGATGAATACGAGACAAAAACATCAACTTCAAACTTAAAAAAAAATGCACTCATTTTTACTCTGTGTGTGTGTGTGTTTGTGTGTGTGTGTGTAAAATGACAAAGGACAACTTTGTGATTCCTTTCTGCCACCCTACACAAGTTCCAGGGACTGAACTTTACTTACCAAGTCTGTGTGTGACATTATTAATTAAGCTATTTTTCTAGCTCCCAGAAATAAACACTAAAACAAATTAAGAAAGCCAAGTAGTGGTGGTACACTTTGAATACCAGCACTTGGGAGGCAGAAGCAGGCGGATTTCTGAGTTCAAGACCAGACTGGTCTACAGAGCAAGTTCCAAGACAACAAAAGCTACACAGAGACTCTGTCTCGAAAAACCAAGAAAAAAAAATTTTTTTTAAATTAAGGAATGGAGCTGTGTATTGTACAAGCTTCCAATCTCAGTATTTAGGAGACTAAGACAAGAAGATCATGAGTTTGAGGCCATTCTGGGCTGTAGAGTAAAAAAGCCTGCCTCAAAACAAAATAGAAAAGCAGAGTCCCTGATACTCAATTTAGTGATTTTCATAGAATTATTACTATTATAATGGGAGAACAGAAACATCCTCCTATTCACTATGTATAAAACATAATGCAGCACATGCATAAAATAGATCCTCATCACCACAGCATCAATAGTCAGTGCACTGTACTGCATGAAGCAAGCTAGACACAAAGACCGAAAGAGCAGGGTTACACTTAGTAAACAAAGTAAAATGGTGCTTGCTAGGAGCTGTGGGAGGGGAGTGGAGAACCGTGGCTTTACAGCCACAGTGGTTCAGTTCAGGACAACAAAAAGATGTTCTGGAGACAGAGGGTGGCAGTGACTAGAACTCAACCTAAAGATGGCTAAAACCAAAGTACAATGTTGTCTACCTCCCAGTCACTCATATGTTCTATGAAGGACAAGAAATATATTAAACAGAAAACTGGAAATTACATAAACCATTATCTAAAATAAAACTCTTCTCGATCGCATCCTTAGTAGCAGAGGTGGCCTGCAAGCACACAAGCATAGTGTTTCCTGCTGCACCACCTCAGGCAGACACTTACTTGAGAAACTGGCTCTTAGCTGTACTTGGGTCACCAACAATGCAAACGTTTATATCCCCACGAAGGGAGGTTCCTTCCCCTGTTGTCTTAGGAACACCACCGAACAACATCAGCAAGACACCGCGTTTTACTTCATCATTGCCTGAAACGAAAAGTTCCAGATGAAAATAATTTTTCAAGGGAACGGTAAGATGACTCAGCAAGTAAAGGTCCTTGCCTCATAAGCCAGAAGACTAGAGTTTGACCTAGAAACCCACGTAAAGGTAGAAGGAAAGAACCAACTCTAAAGCTGTCCTCTGATCTTCAAATGTGCTTTCCCCCTTGGTATGATACATAGACATGGTAACTTAAAAAGCTCAGGTACTACATAACTTAACCAAGCTACCATGAGTATCTTCTCCGTACCACAGATATCAGCTGCCTATGGCCACCATCCCAAGAGCCTTTCCTTATCACTTCCTATGTGAGGCTTTTTTCACAGCCTCAGCTCTCAAAGACTTCTCTCAGAAATATACATTTATCCAGCACACACTGCCACAGTTCTAAGTTTTTTTCTTTTTGGCTGAAGTGGGATAAGTGTGCTGCCCTCCCAGTCCATTGCTCGTTCTTGCTAGTGGCAGCTCCAGTTCCTTCAGGAATCTGAGGTGACATTTCTTTTGTTGACCAGCACTAAACAAATGCACACTAACTAAACTGAATGGATAACATGCTGAATGCAATTTATAGTGTTTCTATTAGCTGTTCATAAATCCAATATAAAGACCACAGTCTTTTTTTTTTTTTTGGTTTTTCGAGACAGGGTTTCTCTGTGTAGTTCTGGCTGTCCTGGAACAAGACCACAGTCTTAAACAGAGTACTGTAGTGCTAAAAAATTTCCCCTATGGAATTGGTGACTGAACTCCACTACCAAAAAAATACCTGGCCAATGCTATATGAACCACTTATTAAAACAAAATAAAAAAAAAAACCCTAAACAAACAAACCAAAGAAAATTAATGGCTTGAGAGGCAGTTCATTTGGTAAAGTACTTGCCAGGCAAGCCTTAGAACCTGTGTTCAATTCCTAGAAACCATGTGAAAATCCAGGTACAGTAGCTTACACTTGTAATCCCAGTGCTGAGGAAGCAAAGACAGATTTCTAACTAGGCTTTGCTGCCCATCCAGCATTGCTTACTCGGAAAGCTGCAGGTTAATGAAAGGCTGCCTCAAAACCAAAGCCAAAACATCCCAAGATGAACAGCCCCTGAGGACATCATATGAAGTCGACTTTGGCACACACATTTAAAAACAGAAAATTAAAAATCCATTTTATAACAAAACTGACATGACCCATGAGACAAATGTGTTGAGGGTATGATGAGTTTTAAATAGTCCATAAAAGTTCTGATACTTGTTATCTTAAGAGAATCTAACTGAGTATGCTGGCAGATGTTTTTGATCCAGCATCTTGGAGACAAAAGACAGGTGAATCTCTTAAATTTAAGGACAGCTTAAAATCAACAAAAACTGAGATGGAACCTGTTGGCTGTGGTATACCTTTAATTCCAGTCCTGTGAGTTCGAGACTAGCTGGGTCTACAGTTCTGGCACAGCTGAGACTAAATAGTAAGATCTTGTCTCAAAGGAGATGGAACCTAATTTTCTTTCTACCTTTGAAGTAGGCATGAAAGTGACTCTTATAGATAGGGTCCAGGCTATACTCAAACTCACATGCATCCCCCTGGGTCAGCTACCTCCTTGATAGCAGAGAATATAGGAATTACTATGCCTAGTATGACTTGAATTAATAACACATAACCATGTGAACTTAAGGCACGTAGCTCCAAGACTAGGAGAGCACTGTCTCTTTGCTTTGTTTTCACATTCTGCACTAAATGTGCTGCTGTGGTGAAGACCTGCCCACTGGATATCTCATCATAAGGGCTCCAAGCTTCCAACTATCCACCAGCACTAAGTCAAGTGAGCCTCTGCATGAGCTCTATCCCCAGTCTACCTTTTGGGTGTCTACACCCTCTGCTGATGCATCAACTTTATTAAATGCATGTGTCTGCATGTGTGCCTATGTTTCACATGCAGGTCTGGTACCCTCAGAAGCCAGAAGGTACTGGATCCTCTAAAACTGGGATTATAGGTGGTTCTGAGTACTATGAACCAAACCCAGGTTCTCTGAAAAATTAGCCTGAAATCTTATCTTCTGAATCATTTCTTCAGCTCCAAAAGCAATCTCTTCATGAAAATCCCTGGACCAGTACCACCCATGAAGCGTTCATTACCGATTCACGTTTCTATCACAGAGCTCTTACCATGTATAGTAGGGAAAAGGCTAGTGCAGAGATTGTGGTACAGGTTTTTGTCCTGACTCATCTCAAACACCTTTTCCCATTCCTTCACCGTCATTTGGTTCTTAATGCTCTCAGCTGTCTGCTCCTCATCTCTGAGTTCTTTCCCTCCAAACTGAAATGGAAGAAAAACAAAATGAAAAACATCATAGAGAGCCAAGATAATGTAAAGGGAAAGACATTCCACTAGAGTAAGATTGCTTGGAAGGTCAAAGTTGTGATTTATTTACTATAGTCCCTAAACTAGGCTTCAGTTAATAAAGACATGTATGTAAAAGCGTATCATTTGTCCAGAGAGGTAAACAAAAGCTACCATTGTTTTATTTTACACTGAACTGTAATAAGAAGCTCATCACTGACAAGAAGATGAAAATGAGTCTCCAGCTCTGCCATCTTAGTAAATCTCATACTAAGTGAGGATAGAGCCCAATTCCTACCTAGCACAGTAAACAAATAGTAAAAATAAGACCTACCCTTGGATTGGTTGGTGCAACATAGCAGGCAAGGAAGACCAGCCTGTATGACAGATCTCTGACACCAAGGGCACGGAGTCCTCGAATGCCTTCTGTCTCATAGCCATCAACTCCACTGACTCGGGAGTTAGTCTCTGCACGTGCTCCTGTGAGAGTGAAAGATAAGGTGTATCACAGTTCAAATACTAGTGATGTTCATAAGAACTGGTGCACTCGAATAAACCAAAGTTAAAACAGCACCTTTCATAGAAACACCAATTTTTTACTCTCTCCATACTTCCGTGCTCATCCTGATTGGTAGCCAAAGAGGTTACAAAAAAAGATTCCAGAAGCCAAGATATCCTGATGAGCAGGTGACCAGGATTGGCTACATCTCAACAACAAACTACTGACCTGGTGTGCTAAGCTTGGAGACATCAGGCACAACAATCAGTGTCCCGGTAAAGTCACATCTGTCACCAGCTTGGGCTGACTCCACAGCTTCTGCTCTCAGGATAACCTCTAAACTTCGGGGAATACTTCCCCGGGGGAGTTCTGCTTGAGTCTCTTGAATACGAACCTACAACCAAGACCAACAGCAAAAGAAAGAGATGCTTTCACATGCTATACAACTGAAATCAAGTGCTATAAATACCCTCATAACCCAACCTCTTTGTACACTTTTTTCTTTGTGTGTGCGCAGGTGGTCACACCCATCTCAGGTGTCATTCCTCAGGACCATCCACCTTCTTTCTTAAGACAGGGTCTCTCACTGGCCTAGAACTCCCAATTCAGTTAGCCTGGTTGACCAACTAGCTTTTAGTGATCTGGTTGCCTCTTCATCCCCTGCACAGAGTTCAAAGTACATGTCACCACATTTTATGTAGTACTAGGGATCAAATACAGGTCTTCATGTTTGTTGACACACATGTTACTAACTAAACTATCTCCACAGGCCTTGCCCTATAGATTTTTTTGACACATACCAATACTCACCTAAAAAGTTTGTACTAGAGGCTGAAAGATGTCTCAGCTATCAGGAACACTGGCTGCTTTTCTAGAGGATTTGAGTTTAATCCCAGTACTACATGGAGGCTTACAACCACCAATAACTGCAGTCCCAGAGGCTCCAATGTCCTCTTCTGGCCTCCATAGGCACTGCATGCATATGGTTCTGAGACACACGTACAAGCAAAATACCCATATACATAAAAATACATAAAAGTTTTGAGTCCTAAAACTTTTAGTCAAATAGTTCAACTGGTTAAGCAATTATACCTCTTGGTTCTGGAGAGACATCTCGGTAATTAACAACAAGATCTCCTTTGTAAATGTTGTACCACATGAAGGCAACACAAATAAAATTTTGTGCCCTTTCAAATAGTTCAATTGGTTAAGAGATTAATCTATTGGGATTGGTTCAGTGGTTAAGAACACTGTTCTTGTAGGACCAGAATTTGATTGCTAGCATCCACAGAGGCTTACAACCATCTGTGTGCTGATTAGTTTTTGTCACCTTAACACAAATTATAACTATCTGGGAAGAGGGAACTTCAGTTGGAAAAATATCTCTATCATGCTGGCCCCTAGGCAAGCATGTGAGGGCATTTTCTTGATTAATGATTGGTATGGGAAGGCCACAGTGGTTTGGGTCACACCCAAGTAAGTGGTCCTGGGTTGTAGAACAGGTTGATCAAGCCTTTGATAACAGTAAGCAGCATTCCTTCACGGCAGTGGTTCTCAATCTTCCTAACGCTGCCACCCTTTAATACAGTTCATTATGTTGTAGTAATCCCTAACTTTAACATTTTTGTTGCTATTTCATAACTGTAAATCTGCTGCTATGAACTGTCATGTAACTATCTGTTTTCTGATGATTGTAGGTAACTCCATGAAAGGACCCCCAAAAGGGTTGAGAGCCACAAGTTAAGAACCACTGCTCTATGGCTTCTACTTCAGTCCCTACTTCCCAGGTTCTTCTATGATGGACTGTAACCATAAGATGACATAAATACTTTCCCCTACCAAGTTGCTTTTTGGTCATGTTTATCACAGTAATAGAACCTAATTAGGACAATCTGTAACAGAGAACCTGATACCTTTTTCTGGCTTCTGTGGGCACTACATTCCTTAAAAACTGACATCTAAACAAGTTATTACAAGGGCCAAAAATGAATTATTAGCAGTAAATCTGATCTAGTTGTCTAATAAATACATTTATATATAAGAATCTAATTAAACAGAAGTAAATACCTTTTGAAAGTCGACAAATCTTGATTTATTAGTGTCTAGAAGGAACCTTTTCCTGTTGGCACACACTGGGTTTCGGCAGATATTTGGCTGTGTGTATTTGAACTGCTGTTCTACATCCTTGATCACTGTTTGACAGTCAAGGCACAGGAAAGTTCCACTCACAAGCTCAGGGTGAACTGGGTGAGTGCGCACCACCTGGCCACTGATTCGGGTGAGCAGCCCAATCCTGGATGAAGTGAGTTCACGAATCCTATTTGAAGACAAGTATCACATTAATAGATATCCTTTCCATCTTTTCCCCCGCTTCAGTTCTGGGGATTGAACTTAAAATCTCATACACAGTAAGCCCATTTCCCATCTACTTAGCATAAACAACATAAGACACCTTTCTTTATTAAATCTTTTGTCTTAATGTCTGGGTATGTCTGAGTGGTTATATACATGTGAAAGCGAGCACTTGCCAAGGCCAGAGACATGGAATCTTCCTGGAGCTGGAGTTATAATCGGTTGTGAGCCTCCTGATACCAGTGCTGGAGACTAAACTCAGGTCCTCTGCAAACAGCAAGTTTACTTTTACCAGCTGAGCTATCTCTCCAGGCCATAATTTCTTTTGAATTATGTAACACAAATTCACAATCAAAATAAAAGTGAGCTGGAGAGTGATGGTGTACACCTTTAGCTCCAGCACTTTGGAGGCAGAGGCAGGTGACTATCAGTTTGAGGCCAGCCTGATCTACAGAGCAAGTTCTAGGACAGGCAGAACTGCACAGAAAAACAGTCTCAAAAAGCCAGAGTAAGTAAATAAATGAAAACAAATATGAAAGACGAAAAGACTGAAGAAATAAAAACACTTGGTGGGCCATGACATGCATCTAAAACCTCAGTGTGTGGTTGAAGGGACTGATCTTGGGTGCTCACTGGCCAGTCAGCCTTGCTCTCTGGAGGACCATCTCAGACTGAGGGAAAAATACTGTCTCAGGACTGGAGAACTTAGTGGTTAAAAGAGTATTTGCTGCTTTTCCAGAGTTCCTAGCACCTATGTCAGAACAACAGGAAACTCACTCCAGGGGATCCAGCATCCTTTTCTGGTTTCTTTGGGCAGTGCACACTTGAGATTCACACACACACACACACACACACACACACACACACACACACACAATTTTAAATGATTTTCTTCAAGCTAAGAAGATGTTCCAAAGTTATGTACTTGGTGAATGGAGGGGGTGGTGGTGCATGCATTTAAAAAATTAGTTATATTCATCATGTGCATTGGTGTTTTGCCTGTATGTCTGTTTGTGCGAGGTATTGGATGCCCCAGAATTGGAGTTATAGAGTTGTGACTCCCATGGTTGCTGGGAATTGAACCTGGTCCTTTCTCGAGGAAACCCGAGGACTGGGAATTTGAAGCCAGCATGAGCTACACAGAAGGCCTTATCTTTTTTTTCTCCCCCTTTAAAAAAAAAAAAAAAGAGGCCCAGCCTCTTCTTCTTTTAAAGACTTATTTATTTCATGTATGTGGGTACACTGTTGCTGTCTTCAGACAACATGGCATCAGATACCCATTACAGATGGCTGTAAGCCACCATGTGGTTACTGGAATTGAACTCAGGACCTCTGGAACAGCAGTCAGTGCTCTTAACCACTGAGTCCCAGAGGGACTTATCTTTAAAAGACTCATTAAGCAAACAAGAGGAACTTACACAAGTATCAGTGTTTAAGTACTCTTACTACAATCCGGTCACTATCAAGTATAAAAATTTCTACACAACAAATCTGTTTTTTTATATGACTTAAGTAGAAACCTCAAGACACAAGCCATGATAGGTGAGAACACTAAGACCCAGTAAAGGAAGGGCTGACTTATACACTACATAGGCAGCTATCTCACAGCTGTGAGTCTCAAGTTTTCTAAATGCCCAGTTAGTGGTATCTGATATGATGGGTCCTTTCACCCCTTAAAGGTTCCTTCCTTACTTGTGTCTAGTAGGTAGGTCTTGGAATGCAACATAAAAATCCTTAGTCAAAGGGATCTCCTTCCGGTCTTTGACAAATGTCTTCAAGGCTCGACACAGGTAAGGGTAGACTCTGAAAACCAAACAGAAGCAGTGACAGATTAGTCTAAGTCTGTCTTCTTTTTCATGTTTGTCAACTTTGAGAGCACAGCATTTCATCTGGTCACAATCAAGCTTTACAATTTAACTGCACGATGCTTTTATCATCCCCTATCCCACCGCAAACAGCAAAGACAAAGAGCTACACTAAATATCTGTTGCTTGAGTCATTCAGTACTCACATCACAGAGAACTTTTCTAAGATAATTCAAACCTTGTCAGCATTATGTTCAATATTGTTAGTTTTCTCTGGATAGTTTACAAACTAGTAAAGCAGAACTCTATTTGGTAAGTCCTAGTTTATACTTTCCTCTGCTTGTTTTATAATAAACTCTGCTGCTGCCGGGCGGTGGTGGCGCACGCCTTTAATCCCAGCATTTGGGAGGCAGAGGCAGGCGGATTTCTGAGTTCGAGGCCAGCCTGGTCTACAGAGTGAGTTCCAGGACAGCTAGGGATACACAGAGAAATCCTGTCTCGGAAAAAAACAAAACAACAACAACAACAAAAAAACCTCTGCTGCTTATCCCTCCAAGCAATTTTTTTCTTTGTGTATATGGGTATGTGCAACCATGAACACATGTGTGAAACCAGAGGTCAACATTAAGTGTTCTCTTGTATCATTTTTTTACACACATGGTCTCTCCTTAAACCTGGACCCCACTACTGAATAGCTAGACTGGCTAGCCAGTAAGTACCCAGGAGTCTTCTTCTTTCCATTCCCCAGTTTTGTGGTTGTGGTATTAACTACCACATCTGTCTATGTAGCTGCTGGGAACTGAAGGCTGATCCTAATGCTTATACAGCAAGCACTTTCACCTGTGTGGCTATCTCACCCAGTTCCCCCTCAACTCTTCTTGATCAGCTATGAATAAAACATTTCCGACTCCTCCAGCTTCCAATCCACCATGAAAACAGGAACATGTCTCTAACGTGGGTGTCTTTACTTCTCTTTTATCACTATTAACATTCATATTTATACAAGTATTTATTTATACAAGTATTTATACAAGTATTTATTTAGAAGAAATATAGACCAATAATTGTGAACAAAGGTTTTTGTCACAGTTAAAAACAAAACAAGCTGAAGTTATTATTTCTACCCCTAAAACACTCAAGCTATGCAGGATAATCCCAGTACTTGGGAGGCAGAGACAGAGAGATGTCTGAGTCTGAGGCCAGTCTACAAAACAAGATCAAAGCCAACCAGGGTATATACTAAGACCCTGATTCAAAACAAAAGACAAAGCAAAATGCTATGCCTAAACAATTAAAATGTTTCAAAGGCATTTTATATCAAAAATTACATATTAGATCAAAAATGGCAGGACGCGTTATCTGTAATATTCTCTCCAAAACTATACACACACAGGAAGACATCAAAATGCAGTAAGATCCTAATATAACTCTGCACTTGAGAGGCTTTTGAAAGCTTGCTTCAACAGACCTACAAAGAGTGGCTACCAAGGAGTGGTAAAGTTAAAAGCATACAAATAACTTGACTTTTTTTCTCTATTTTTTTTTTTTTAAAGAATAGATACACATGGGTTGGCAAGATGGTGCTGTCACCAAAGCTGAGAGTTTGTGTTCAATCCCTAGGACTTATAAGGAGGAAGGACTGAACTGACTCATGTAAACTTATGAATTCCACATATGCACCATGGCACGCCTGCCCCTTTAAATAAAAATTTAAAAGAGACATACATTACATCCATAACCAGAAAAATAATTAAAACTTCTAACAGAACAAATAAAACATTATTGCTATAAAGACTCCTAAGTTGGCCTGAGTGG